AGAATCAGCCGAATTCAGCCTCCTGGCCACTTTGGGGGGGGGGTCACAAAAAACACACACATGCTAAAATACAAAAGTGTGTGCAGAGCGAGCTGTAGGTAATTTCTGAGCCCAAATGCTGCCCAATTTTTTTTAATATAAAGATGTCCCAGGCTTTGAATACATTTTTTTAATCAACCGTTATGTGTATGTATATTGCCGTCTCTTGCCACATTACGGCACATTACACATGGCATTACACACGGTTTGGTGTGAATTATCAAAAAAATTCAATGAAGAAAAAAGGGTTAGGGTTAGGGTTAAATCATTTTGCATGACAGTCTGCCACCTTAAAACCTTCCCGCTCCCCTGCGAACAAAGTTCACTTAGAATAACTAATTTAAAACCCATTCCAAGTCAAGTTAGTCATGCCTGCATCTGTGTTTTCAGGCACTTTCTGAAGCCTCTCAATACTAAGACCACTTTAGCTACATCAAGTTAAACTATGAACCTACTATGACTGAGTTTTTAGAGGTACAGCACAGTTTACGATGTTTATGAAGTGCATTTATTAGGAATATTCACCTTTTTTGCACATAACAGAGGTATTACTAGACCATTGTCATGTGGGCCTCTAATGCTTAATTTGGCTAGCTTGATGTCCAAGACACTTAGGTGGTAGTGTTAGGCTAAAGTAATGTAAATAAAAATCCATTAGCCATTTACAACAGTCTTCACACAAAGTAAATGTTGAAAAAGGTTTAATCTTTCGATCTGAATGTCTTTGACCATGGTTGCAGAGTCCTTTACAATCGGTAGGTATGTATAACTTTCTCCAAATGCAAGAGGAGTACATTTATAACAGGCAAAGAGAGCTACTTTGTGTCCTTTAATGTTCAATAATTCATACCTGTACCAACAGATGGACTGCAGTCAGTAATTGTAAACCTACAAAGTGCATCTACGTAGAAGATGAAGCTGATAAAATGGCCAGTGAGTGTAAATACAAGGTAGCATGGTGTGATAAAGTGGCAACTCAGTGTAAAGTGAAATAAAAGCCTCTATTTAAGGCACAAACTACTTTTAAGTAGGGATGCACCGATACGGGAATTCTGTGTTTCATCCACACGTACCAGCACATTACACAAACATGCTACCACCACGTCACTGTTACTGCAGTGCTGAGACTGATCCACTACACAAATAATACCTGCTCTTGACCACTGATTTAGTTTTTTTAAACGTTTCACATTTATTTTAAAAAGTCAAGCCATTACATCTCAATTCAGATAAATAATGGTGGCTCTAACCAGCACATAGGCCAGATCAAGCAAAAGGTTTTAACTGTGTATTTTCAGATATTTAATTACAACAAACAGAAATGTTCCAGACACAGCTTCTATGCATTTCAGGCTGAGCTCATTTCAGCAGCCACTGGACAAGGTGTAGATGTTGCTCATGCAAAATGAATGCAAAATTAGGAGGCAGTTGAATTAGATAATAAAAAGCATGACTATACAAACAGCTATGATGTACACATAATCAACACATTTTATATGAAATCATGAACTATGAAGAATACATGAAAGACACAGTTTAGCTACAACCACCTGAAGGCATTTTTAATAGGTTAAATTCAACTTGAAGTTCATTTCTCATTTTACATTCTCGTAATTCCCAAGAAAACAGAGTTTTTTCTGAACACAAGACCATTTGCACTGATGTTTTAGTATGTCTGGTCAAATGCAAAAGCGCTTTTTGAGCATGGTGTGGCCTAGAGAACTGATCCATGATCCCATGAGAATGGTGGTCTAAATGATAAATTTTTTGTCCTGTAGATGCAAAATGCAACACAAATGTATTGCCTTTATGTTTTTTTCTTCAGTACACGCAAAATATAACTTAATACTCCTATTCCTTAAAGAAATAGCTGGAACACTAGAATTAGACTGTCATCAACATCATCTGGTAAATATATGCCAAAATCTTACTTGAATCTAAATTTATCTGCTTCAAAAATCAACTGAATAGCTATGTAAACAAGTTAAAAAAAAAAACAACCAACCAACCAACCAAACAAAGAGCATGGATAGATCTTTTTAAGCACTTCAGCTTGGAACTATATTATCCTCCATGTAACGTCCTGCCTTGTAGTACTACTCCACTTTCAAACAGGACCACAATGGGTGCGCTGTACTTCAAAACATTACTACTCACACATCATGATGTTTGTGAGCATAGATAAGGCTATATAACTGTAGGACAGTTAGCTAGAATTGCATCTCAAATAACAATAAAGCTACGAAAATTAGGTGTAACATTCTATTTTGTATAAACAGTAAAGAGATCAAAGAAATCTCAGTGTAGTCCAGTATATTACCACCAATTCCCCAATAACACAAACATACAAAGTGTGGCTTTTGGCAATGAACCACAAACTAGCAAGAGTGCCATTTAGTAAAAGCATCATGCAAAATCTCTGAGTATGCAGTGATCATTTTTCACCTACCGATAACAAGAAAGGTCGCAAACAGGATGTTCAAAAACCAGCTGGTCCAAGTAAATTTCTACAGATAAGAATTGAATTTGAGGTAAATTTACTTTTTCTCCTCCTTTGCTGTTTGTTGTGTGCTCACTTAGCTGCTGTACATGGGGACACGCCACACACTAGCAATAACTGCTGTTCATCATGGTCTGAGTATTTGAATCAAATGAATTAAGGACACACCAATATGAGAATTGTGGGCCAATGCAAATATTTTTCATGTACGTTTTTGCCGATACTGATACATAAACATTAAGTATAAAACGTACAAATTGGGACTAAGTCTATCTGGAATAGCAATATGGAGAAACAAAACTTATTTCTATAGTAGGGGTGTACTGAGATCAAAACTGTGTGCTGATATCTAAAGTTTTCCATGTAAATATCTACCAATACCGGTACTGATACATAAAAAATTTTTAAACAGTAAAACATTATCCAGTAAAATGAATAAAATGCTCACATTTTAGTCCAACAACCCAATATAGCATGAACATTCTGCTCTTCTGGAGTAAATGCATCATCAAATATAAGTTAGAAATTTCAGCCAAATCTAAACATCTCTCCAATGTGCATCATTTTAAAAGCAATTATCAGACAACACGAATATGATTCTACTCTTTCTGCAAAAACAATACACACAAGAGTAATATACACAACTTTGCAATGATCTACAGTTTGGAGGAAACCTATGAAAATGAACGCTTCTCCCAAACAAGCACAGAATCGATCCCGGGTCTAGACTCAAATTTACAGACCAAGGGTAAAAATGGCCCAAGGCATCATGCAGGTTCCCAGTTATCTTCCAACCAAGTCCAATATGAGCAGGCTACACTGGATGTCTCTTATGTAGATAACCACATGAACTAGAGGCTGCCTTTGTGAAGATCAGATCAGCTGTCTTGAATGTTTTGTGTATAAACATAATACAGAACTCTGCTGAATCTGTCTGCACTGAGGTGATCTGACAGTGGCTCTGGCTTTCTGACAATGGCAAGGGCAAACATAAAGGAAAACCAAAATTTCCTCACTTTTCCACAATAAAAGATTGTGATATTGTATGCAAATTTTCATTTCAAAACATACAGTCCATACATGTAAACAAAGCTGCAAAAGCAGCTCGTTTTGAATTCAACATTATTTGTGATGCCACAAAAACTAACACATTTACATTAATCCACCTATTCAGCTACAGTAAGTTTGCACTGCACCTCTCATTCACATCAAGGTTAAAATAAATGCCAAGGCTGATTTTGGAATGAACTGCCACACAAGGCAGCCAATTAGAACAGACATGTTTTATATATCTGTCTTAAAGACACAGTAACAAAATATTTTTTTTCTAAAGAGAGGTTAGAAAACGGTCATGTAAAAATGAATTATGACTGTTTTTGGTACTAAATCCACACAATCATAAGGGGACCTTATGGGGAAAAAAAAAAACAATAAAATAAGAAAATTTAGGATATGGGCTCTTCAACCAAAGCTTTGCCAATATGCTGAATAGAAAGTTCACTTTTGGTTTGCTTTGTCATATTCTAAACCGATTTTCACATCTATGACTTGGAACATGCAACAAAAATACTGTATCTACCACATCTGGGATTCTCTTAAAGCCTTTACTAGGAATTGCAATTTTGAGAACATTTTTAGTTCTACAATTTACAATTAAATTAGACAACTTTCCAGACGTTACTCAGACGTGAATGTTCATTTTAGAGCAAATCCACGATTCGTTGTCCTCCGCTGTGTTCATGTTTAATGATGCACGGTTCAGTGCTTAAAAATAGAAAGAATACATCAGATCACATTACATGTTTAACAAGAGGGTGGAAGTGTCTGTTCTGTCGGTTACGACACAACGTTCATTATAAACAACAGTAATTGCTGATCCAGCATTTTAACTTTTGCTGTTTGAAACGTTTATGTTGACATAGCTAACGTTAATCCTCAACTAAACCCAGCTAGCTGCGCTGTTTTAGCTTTCAGCTAACGTTGGTGAATGTAACGTTAGTGAATGCATTTTGGAAGAAAAGTTACGAGGAAACCACAAATCCGCGGTTAAAGCCCCCTGAATGTTGTTCTTGCCAAACCCATCATTTCTGGAAGTGGGAATTTGTTTTGAAACTTAGCAATGCAGCTTTTAGCACGTAACTCATCTTTTATTACTACTAATATCATTATTATTAACACATAAGCAGCTAAGAAGATGCTAACTAGCAAAGTTAGCGTAGCTACTGAGTAAAATACCTCGTTTCAACTCATTAAGTTTGCTAACGTTACTCGGAGTTCTGGAGTTGCCAAACGAGAAGACGAGAAATGCCGACCGTACAATTCCCTTGTTCTTGTCTGTTGGCTTTCCAACACCAAAGTCGACTATATGTAACCACCTAGCTGCTAGTTAGATTGCTGGCGAGACGATTAGCAAATACGTAGGTTCGAATGTAAAAAAAAAACACGGTCTTAAGTTACTTACCTCTGTCAAGTTTGACGGTCCCTTGCCGTTTAGAAGAAAGTAAAAATATCCGTTCAGGTTTTTGACTGCTCTTTCAATTCCTAAACGTAGTTCTGACCAAGTTCTGCCAACCTACTTCGCTTGCTAGCGTTACAGCTAGCTAACTAGTTCAGCCTAGAACTCATCGTCTTATGAGTACGGACACGTCCATGTTGCTAGCTAATGCTAGCGAGCTAGCTACTTTTTAACAGTAGCTAACGCTCACCGCCGGACGCGTCATGATCACAGCTAGCCGAATTCTCGGATTCGGGTTTTACTAACGTTCGCGAGCAAAACTTTTATCGAAACGCTTCGCTTCTTAGTCCACAAATGCGGTCAGTTCCAGCAACCAAACGAACGTCATCGCTTTCGCGTTATGCCTCGACCCCCCTATACGCGTTCTAACTATGCGGAAAACGGACGATTTGCCATCCCAACTGCGAGCTACATCCCCGGGCTTAGCTCAGCTAGCGCCCCCCGCTCCACTTCCACTCTCCTCCGACTGACTGAGCCAAGTGGGCACTGTTGCTGAGTTTAAAAGGCCCAAACCACTTTTCCTCCATACTCCACAGGGACTGATCCATCAGTACACTTATGATTAACACCGCCTGATTAAAACGCAGAAGTAATTTTAGTTGGATTTTGTGGCTATTTTTAGCTACTTTCTATCATTTTTTGTAGGACACGAAAATGAATTAAAGATGTTTATTCTTTAGTGTAGAAGACAGAATATAGACGTGCATTTAAGTATGTATTTTCAAGGTTATTTACGTTAGATGAGAAAATATCTATTTTTATGCATATCTAAACAGAGAAACTCCACGTAATGGGAGATTTGTTAGAGCCTTAGTTCTGGTCGATCTACAGTGCACGGACTCCCACATGTGGTGGATGGGAATAATGCAGTCCCTCTCAAAAGCAAGTGAACGGCAGTGCGGGTTAGCAGGGACAGCCACTGTCTTTATTTGGTTTATTTCAGCTGGGTACAGGTGAAAGTGGATCTTGTATGTTAGGACTAACTTAATATATATATTAATTACTATTATTATATTATATTATATTTAGACCTATTTTATTTTACTTCAAATCACATTTACACCCATGAGATCTGCTTTATCGCAGTATTGGGTTCAAATATAAATATTGTGTTTATGTTAAATAATAAAAAATTCTGTGTCTTTATAGATTTATTGCTGTGTTAGGTTTGCTTGCAGGTTGAAAAGATGCTGATTTTAATTATTTTTTAATCCCTAATAAAGCAAGTTACAAATGCGCAATAACAAAGAAAACTGGCCATGTGAACCTGTTTATATGGCCTAGCATATCTCTAACTGGCCATTTTTGACAGTGCAGTGTCATCATGAATTTTTAAGATAAAAAAGTAGGTTTTTTATGCAAGCAAGGTCAAGAAGGTCACTGTTTTGCCATTTTAATGAGTGTTTAGAGGATTTCAAGTAGAGAATGGTTTAATGATGGTGATGTAATTTGTTACTGTTGGAACAAAACCTTGTATCTCCAAAATGGTAACCTTACAGGAGGAGAATCTATCCAATCAGTTTTAGACCATCTCTGTTGGCCCGTTCTGGAGTTTTCAAATTATGCAAAACAAAATGCAAAAATGACAAAAATGGAGACACAAGGTATTTGCCCGACAGCACAACATTAAGAACAGTGTGGAAAAATGTTTCCAAAAATAAAATAGGTAACTGAAAGTGTTGCAGTCTGGCTCTGAGAAAAACAGCTTTTCAGGTGTTTCTGCCATCATTACTCATTTTGAGTTCTTGGCTTGTAATGAGGCTGCTTGTTTCACCCATGTTCATTTGTTGAAACTAATGTATATAATTGAGTAATAACTAATAAATGACTAATGACTGATTCCTACATCCACCACTGATCTATGTGTAGCATGAAGTGTATTCTATTAATTTTTATTTGTTTGAGGAGGAAGTTGAGTTTATTACAGATGTTGTTTTACACATTCTGTTATTTTCTCTTTTTTGCAGCTGTAAACAGAAAATACTGATTACAGAAAGCAGTACCGCCCAGTCTACTCCAAGCGCCCCCCTCCCTTCCTGCAGTAACAGTCTCTACTCTTTTGGGAAGACCTCACACTAGATGTTGGAATATTGCTGTGAGGTTTTGATTGTACTCAGCTGCAAAAATATTAGTGAGGTCAGCTACTGATGTTGGATGATTAGTTCTGCACTGGATGGAGCTCCATCACTCCAGAAAACGTAGCTCAGTGGTGGGAGGGATTTATACCCCTCTAGCTGACGCGTGGCATTGGTCATGGTGATCTTAGGCTCGTGTGCGGCTGCTCCATAGCTTCCCATTTTTTTGCCAGTGCTTTTCCAGAGAGATTATACAAAAATGAATTCCCGGATTAGAACGTGTCTGGATACTTTTGGATATATAATGTACCAGTGATAGGACACTGTGGCACAGAATATTTTAAAATGTTCTGAAAGAAACACAGGGCCTTTGAGGCAATAAGACTATGCTCTCATACAGGGAAAAAGTCCAAGTGTTTTCTTTGAAACAAAGTCAAAACAACCTTACTAGGTTTTTAATGTTTTGAACACTTGTCATTCAATGGTGTAGCTGTTGAGGTTATTGTTATGACAGTGTTTTGCAGCTATGTAAATCCTGGTATACACTGACTCTCAGATCATCCTTCAACAAGCGAGACTATGATGTTGTCTGGCAAAATCTGACAACAAAGATCTGCTTGTCCAATGTCACTAATACAAATGGACCTCAGTGTTACAGGCTACTGAGAGAAAGCACAGCTGGGCTGTCTCTCCCACTTTTCTCTTCCTTTAATCTAATCTCTTAATCAGATCACAATTTGGACAGCATTGTGCTCCACGTGGCACTGAATGTACATAGAGCAGACAGCCAGGTGTTTCTCTGTTTAGTGGCAGCCACATTTCAGTGAGCAGACTTCCTGTGAGCTTCTATCAAGTACCAGCTTGTTTAAGCTGACAGACACTCTTATGCCAGATATTATGCCATTCAGTACACAGATTCTCTCTGGGACTGCTACATCAATTAGACGTTTTTCAGACTGGTCTACTTCCCTGGCCCAACTCTTCTGTATATGTCTGTGCTTTGGTCATGCTTACCCTTTGCAAGTGTTGCAGTGAGAGGAGTGACAGGAGGTTAAATTAACCTGGTTTAAAGCCTCGCAAAAACAGTTTGCATTTTTAAACTTCAACAGTTTAACAGTTGATAGGACTAGATGTTCAAGATGACCTTGTTTTGTTTCAAAGAGATATATTTTAATATTTGAAAATGATTTTAATTAACACGATATTGACCACAGCAAGAACAGGGTCAGTGACAGTACAGTGACAATATGGGAAATATTAAGTCAAATAAACTATATATTGTATGTAGTTGCCAAACATGCAGCAGGTGTCTTCAGTCCATTGAAGATAAAACAATGTGAAGGTTGTGATGTCACTGATGTCAAAAGGCCACTTAGCGTAGTTATCTCAAGATGATAGTTTGGACAGCAGTTCTTGGACATGTTTAAATAACTTGACCTTTTATGAAAATGGCAAAATGAGTAATCAAAATTCCTAAACTATTAGTGAAATACTTTAAGAAAATCTGGACATTTTTAAAACAATAACAACAATAACAACCGTTTCGATAACAAAAATCATGTATAACTAATATGATAAAAAAGCATTTAAATACAATGAAAACACTTTTCATATTCTGAAGGACCTATATTTAATCCCACTCTCTGTGATGAGAAGGAATAATGACAAAGTTTGTTGTTGACTTTGAAGCATTGCACATTTGTCTCCTGTGAGGTCAAAAGAGGTTCATGCACACTGCAAATTTATAGATATTGGGGCCAAAAAAGTCAGAGACAGTTCATCATTGTATCAAGGCAAATCATGACCTCTGAGTTGTTTAAATCAGAGGGTGTGTCGAGTGGCTTTGCGGGAAAATTACTGTGAGGCAGGCCAGCCCTCTCAGACCCCTCCCTCAGAGTGGGCTGGTATTTGGGGGGATAATGTCCACATTTAACAGGATGTGCTCACATATTCTCCAGCACTTAAGAGGAGAGCTCCAGGGGTTGCACACAGTGGTGAGCACCCCCCCCCTCTCTCTCTCTCTTTCTTTCCCCCTCTCATTCTCTCTCACTCACCTACATCTCTCCCACAATCCCTTGGGCTGACCCGGACCCTCTGATCTACTGTGAAGATGCTGGTGGGTCTGAGCGGGGCCATGCAGCTCCGGAGCATGACCCGGGCCAGGGTCATCCTGCAGAAGCGCAGGTCCAGCATCTACAGCAAGCCCCCCAAGAACAAGATTGGACCTGGGGTGAGTGGAACAGCTTTGTAGCTACAGGGAAATTCTCATATTTCAATTGGCTCAATAGAGATTACACAATACCCATTTACAAGGGTTGACAGAGAATGACCAGCGTGGCCAAATGATTGTATGTATTGATTATTTATGTTTTTATGAGTTTTTGTTTTTAACACATTACTGTATTTGCTAATTTGGTGTTTCTTGATCAACACATTCTATTTATTTCTTTCCAATGTTTTGTTCATTTTCCTGTAACTAGATTTTGTATTGAATCAAACATGCTATACAAATAAATATTATAATTATAACATTATTAAGTGTACATGTTGGACTGAAGTCAATGTAGTATAAAGGGGCTGCTGTATTCAATAGCATACAGGTGAAGACCCCACTTACACAAATTTTGGTTACATCTCAAAGACTATACTAGATATACTAGAAGGACTTTTTTTTAAGATAAGCAAATAATGTACAGAAAATGTAAGGAATTGAGGAACTGAGCAGTAGCAAATGCTTTGTACATTACTGATAATTATACAGTTTGCATACCCAGTCCTTCAGCCCACCTAATCTTTTACATAATACATCAGTATTACCACAAATATACCTGATTTCACTCTCTAGCTAATCATCAAGCCCTTGATTAAGTGATTCAGGCGCACTTGGATCAAGTAGGCAGAAAAAAATGTGACTGGTGGCCAATAGACTGAGCACAATATTGAGTAATTAGCATCTAAGTACTTCAGTCTTAAATCTCATTGTTAGAAAAATAATGTAAAAATAAAAAGGGTTTCTTTCTGGTTGTGTTGTGCGTCTTTGTGGGATTTTTTAAATTGTATGCTTATATGTTAATTATTTGGTAACTACTATGAAGCCAATATATAACTTATTCAAAGGTCCCACAAAAGGTTCTTTGAAAAGTTCTTTAGTGAACCAATAGTGGTTCATTTTATGGTATGGCTCCAAAGAACTTTTTTGGCACTTGTGGTCTGCCACTTATAGGGTAAAGGGTCTATATCTTGGAAAACTATATCTTGGAAAACCAGGAAATATCTTGGAGCTTTTTTTTAATTCAAAGAGTTTGTTGTCATACAGTTAAAGTTTTAAAATGTATCAGTCAGTCTCCAGACCATACAGTTTGTACTTGAAGACTAGGCTAGTCACAATACCAGGCAGCCAGTCAGAACAGATGCTATTAACATATATCTAAGGGCTAAAAAGAAATTGGAAAATGGTATATAATGGCAAACATTATAAGTAGAGAAAAAGATTTTTTGTTATTATTGTCTTAAGCATGCATTTGAAATGCTCATATATCTCATACTGTTTTTTTCGTCCCCACAGCAAAGTTTCTTCATCATGTCTGTTTTTGCCTTTGCTCTCCTGGCTCCGGCTGGGTGGATTCTGCACCACCTCCCTGAGTACCGGCAGAGGCCTGAACCCCCACCGTCCTGAAGAACATCAGCCACCAGCCAGCTGCTACACACTATAGACCACACTGGCTGCCTCTAAAGCATTATTCACCTCTTTAAAAGACTACATCAAATAATGAAACACATGATTAACACAACATCCCATATCGTGAGAGAGAAAGCATTACTATGAAACTGTGAATATGAGAGGAACTCCCAGTTTCTTTATTTGATTGCAAGTGTGTATTCAATGGTGTTTAATGCCTTAGAACTGTGGCCCCTATTGCTGTTGCAGTGGATGTTTGCAATGGCACTTACTTTGTGTTAAACGTCTGCACATTTTATTTCCTGAAATAAATATTTGCTGAATACTCTTGTTTACTATCTGTCATTTATTCATACCATTTGCTCTAAGCATCTATGGTAGATACTTGATTCTGATTTAATGGAATTAAAGACATAAATTAAGCCTAGTCTAGGACTTAATAACACTGCCAATTCTGAATCAACACTGGACATTCTTTTTAGCATAGGCTTAGGCATAATCTGGGTCTGGAAAACTGGAAAAATGTCAGAAAAGCATTCCAGACTGACCTAAAGGCCTTTTGGGCAGTGTGCGTGGCAATTACACAGTGTGCTGATATACTTGATAACATGATAACACTAACATTCAGCAGTCAGTGGCTGACAGGAGACTGCATGTTTAAATCCTCAGAGGAGCAAAGGAAACTCCATCAGGGCCAATCACATTATGGGAGAGGCGAAAAAGACCAATTAGACCTTTCAGACTAAAGCAAATTATGCAATACTATTTAGAAGTGCAGCTATTTTTTTCCGTATAATGATTGTACAGAGATGCTAGATATTTAACTCAATGCAAGCATGAGTTTCAACGAAGTGAAGTGTGAGAGTCATTCGTACGTAGTACGTAGCTACTGGACCCCTCATGTGAGATAATCTACCATGATGAAAGTGACTAGTTCACTAGCTCTAGTTAGTAGATAGCAAGTGTTATATTTTTCAAGCAAGCTAATATAATCTAAAGTACAGGGTGTCCCAAAAAAATTGACATCATTTGAGATGTGAATATCTGAGTAACTACATGTCCTGGGCAAACGAAATTAAATAGGCTTCATGTTGAACAATACTAGATTTATTTATCAAAATTCAAACAAGAAATTCAGAGGGATGTAGATTTTATAACCGATTTCACAAACCTTCACAAATGTAATATCTTCCAATACTGGTGGTCGTCCAGATTCCTTTGCCCTGCACAGACAGCCTTCCTCTTGGAATATTTTGTGCCATATCCAAATCTGCTTTCCAGTTGGTGCATTTTTATTGAATTTTCTCGAAAATGCACACTGCACACTCTTGTTTGACTGTGTTTGAGCATATTCTAACACACAAAATGCCTTTTCATTTCTAGTGAATGCCATTCTTCAATCTGAAAAAAAAAAAACATTAAAAATTGAATTTGGTTAGTTTTTACACATTTTATTAAAATTTGAGATCATTTGAGGGAGAATTGGCTATGTTATTAGACTACGAAATGATTTTTTGGGACACCCTGTACATTGGTCAACAGTTAACACGCTTCCATTTATATTATAATTTCCAAAGTTATATTACAAAACAGTTGGGCCAGCAGGTGAAATGATAATAAAAACAGAAAGCAGTGATTAGTAAAATCTGTTTGTCCAGTATTGAATTGAAAACTGTACAAAAACATTACATTTTTATTATAAAACTGTACAAAAACACTATTTGTTTTATTCTTTTTTTGGTAACCGTTCGCTCATTCCAAATTTGATGTCTGCAATAAAGTTGGGACAGGAGCAGGTTTAGCATTGTGTTACATCACCTGCCTTCACAGATGTGCAAGATACCCATGCCATGGGCTCTAATACACTCCTATCCCAAGACAGATCCTGTTTTTTGTACTTTACACTGGTAACAGTCTGGATGGTCTTTTTTCTGTGGTTTAGAGAACATGATGTTCATTATTTCCTTAAACAATCTGAAAGATAACAAGTGTTTATAGACAGCTGTTTGTCAAAGTGTCTTGTGGTGATGTCCGTCACAGAAGCATACCTGTTTTAAAAGCAGTGCCATCTGAGGGTTCAAAGGTCACAGGTGTTCAGTTAATTCACAGAGTTTCCCTAAAACTTTTGATCATGTTATGCACTGTAGAATGTGAAATACCGAAAATCTTTGCAATTGTTTGTTAAGCAATGTTGTGTCAAATGGGTGGAATTTTCACTGATGCATTTTTTGGCAAGGTGGTAAGTCTTGTCTAATCCTTGCCCATAAAGGATTAGGCTTTTCCTGATTGGTCACGCTATACCCAAGCATGATTTTATCACCTCATTTAGATGTTTTTGGACGTTTCATGTTTTCAACAATTCTAGTATTAATTTTATCATCTCACCACTTTTTTTTTTGGCTGTTCAAAATTGTATTTCTCCCTAACACGATTGGGAAAACATTTTATGTTTGCTATTAATATCATGCAATGTAATTTTTTAGAACCCCAAATTAAAGAACCTTCTTTCTTTACTTATTTTCTTGAGGGTTAACCCACCAACCCCCCAGTCTCCCTATAATTAGCACCCTGCTCAGCAGCCATGAAGTTTTATTGATGACGCTGATTCATATTTTGTCTGTGTTTGTTAGGAGATTGTATTGTCCAGGTCACAGTGACCTCTGCTTCAAACATCCTGAAGTCCCTAGTGTTTGTTTTTCCGGAAAAGAGGGATTTCTGCTCACAAGCCTCATGTCACTAACTCTCAATGGGTTATTTCAGTAGTTTCAGAGAATTTGGAAACCACTGCCCGCTGAGAAAGCTGTCTGTTGTGAACAACATATTCAAAACAAAGATATGTAGTTTGGTATTATGAAGTCTGGAGAGAGCTTTAGTTTTTTTCAGAGTAATACTTGATTTTAACTGTTACTCCATCACTTGCAGTCATCAGATTCATCTGTTTGGAGAAGGGTTCCAAAGCACAACCAACATTACAAAATGTTCTTCCGCATGTTGCATGCAGTTATAATTTTCCAAACCTTTGGTAAAAGCACATACTGAAAAAATCTTCTGGCCAGAAAGTGTTTTAAACACCTGAAAGGTTTTGATTGCTGATGAGTGCTGACTTCAGTACACTGGAATCAGAGTGCTGGCATTATCACCCAAAGTAGCACTGTCACAAATATTCACACATGTACAATTATTTTCCTGTAAATAAACTTGCTTAGTCATTTAATATGTTAAGTTATTGCGTCATTTGTGTTACAATCATTTTGAAAAGGTAGGCATCAAAACTTTTGAGAGGCCTTGTCGGTCTGTCGTGTTCTTAAACATTGCCATCAAAAAGTCTTGTTTAGTGCGGTCAATGAACATTCAATTAAAATAAAAAAGTAAAACTATTATAGGTGTTCTGTAGCACTGTTTGTTTTTTCCATGCAGTCCCATTTAAACATTATTTGTGTCTGCTTTTGTGCAACCATTAGCCCTTAAAAGGATGCACCTACTCTAGTAGTTACCACTAAATTATGGCTCCTATTTTTTATACATCCTATCATTCTCACTATTTACAAGTCATCTGAGGTCATTTATATTCACAAAATTAGACCGACTGCAACTGTTGGAGTTCAGCTGATGGCTTCAGAGGAGTTGCAGGACTGTTTGCATTATGTAACTCAAGTGCAATTTAGTTTCATGTAGGTTGCAAGCAACCAAAGTTGCATGAAAGTGTCACCATACAAAGTCAGCCTTAGAAGTCTAGAGTTACTGCTTATTTAAAACACACACAAACACACACACACACACACAATCACACACACTCACACACATCTTCTAAGTCGCTTATCCTTCTGGGTCGCAGGGTTATTTAAATAACATTTCATTTTAATAACATACTATTTAACTATAATTACATAGTTAATTTTATAATTAGTGACATAACAGATTACGTTTATATTGTATTGTATTATATTGCATTGATCGAAAGTTTAGAATCACGTCAGACAGAACTTTAGACAGAACTTCTCTGCTTGTTTCCATGAGCTACAAGTCATAATTCATTTCAATTTACAACATTCTTTTGACATTTTGAGCAATGGCTGCAGCTTCCAATTTTATGGCTCACTGCTGATGTCAGTGTTCTAAGGTTGAGATGTTCTCATCCTCGGCTGGAACAACCTGATGCCTTCAGCCTGAGACAGAACTGTATGTTCTGAGGAAGAGCTTGATTATTTTTTCAAGCTCACTTGATTATAGAAAGGCAGGGGATAATGATTTATTATCATGATCTCATGCAGTTCACTCATTACCTCAAGTGCCCCGTGTGCTTATCAGATGATATACAGGGATTAAAAAGTGAAACCAGTGATGGCCTGATTTACAATTAATTTCTGGGAAACCTGAACAAGACACACAACTTTGAATGCATCTTCTTTTTGATCGGAGGATTATGAGCTAGGTTGCCTTGTGCTCCCTGCTCCATTTGGCAGGATGTGAATGATCTCTCACAGATTAACATGTAAATAGACCACAGTGCTGTCTCCAGTGCAAACACCACTTCCTGATATTCCCACGACTCAGGACAGAACATTCCTTTCTCCCTGATTGTGGTTATAAAACGATGGTCCTGTTGAGTGTGGTCCACACCATCTAAAGTACCTCATCTGCACTGCTGCACAGTGTAGACTGAAGAGTTTAAACATTTAATTGAATTATTAAGTCATTACATCATTTCCAGGGCATAACATTCATTTCAGGTCTAGGATTACTTAATTGAGTACAGAACACATAGAATGATGCCTGTTTTCAATAGGAACACCAACGCCCTTTCATCAGGGCTATCTCTGGGCTGACATTGAAGCTACAAAGCTATGTGACCACTGTCTTATCAGAATGTGTATAGTGTTTGAAGGGACAGTTTGGCAAATTCACAGTTTTTTTTTTACCCCAAATGTAAATGATCCGTGAAGACTTGTTTGGTGTCGGATGTTTGCTTCTTTAGTTTCTACACTCATTGTCCATTTTATCAGCTCCACTTACTACATAGGTGCATTTTGTAGCTCTACAATTACAGACTGTAGTCCATCTGTTTCTCTGCATACTTTGTTAGCCCACTTTTACCCTGTTCTTCAGTGGTCAGGACCCCCATGGGGGGGTCCACTCCAGCAGCACTGCTGTGTCTGATCCACTCGTACCAGCACAACACACACTAACACAACACCACCATGTCAGTGTGAGAATGATCCACCACCCAAACCTGATCTGTGAGATTCCAGGGGCGTCCTGACCACTGAAGAACAGGGTAAAATGG